GGGAGGGGGGAGAGGGAGGAGGGAGGGGGGTTTCGGTAATGGGCCACAATAATCAACCACACTGTATATCGACAAAATAAAATTAAGAAAAAAATAAAAATAAAAAAATAAAAAAAGAAGACAAGACAAAATACTACAACTAATAATTACTGATAATTGAATTTAGCAACATCACAGGATACAAGATCAATATACAAAAATCAATTGAATTTCTATATACTAGCAGCAAACAATTAGAAAATGAAAAAATTTTTAAATGACATTTACAGCAGCATTAAGGATATAAAAGACTCAAAGACGTGTCACACAGTATGTGCAAGATCTTTACAAAGCATTGCAAAGAGAAGTTGAAGAACACCTTAAAAATGGAGATATATGATGTTTGTGGACAAGAAGATTCAATAATGTTAAGTTGTCAATTGTCAAAAAATTCATTTGTAGATTGAATACAACGCCTATAAAAATTCCAGGAGTCTTTATTGTAGAATGAAATATAATCTATAAATTTAACTTTATATGGAAATTTCAAAGCACCTACAATAGCCAAAACAATTGTGACAAAGAACAAAGTTGCAAAAATTCCACTACTTGATTTCAATACTTACTATAAGGCTGCAGTAACGATGCAATGAAGCATTGGCATAGGCTAAATAAATAAATCAATGGAAAAGAAAAGAAAATCCAACATAAAACCACACTTATATGGTCAATTGATTTCTTTAAAGGTGCCAAAGCAATTCAATGAGGAAAGGAAAGTCTTTTGAACAAATGGTTCTGGAACAATTGCATAGCTATAAAGAAAAAAATAAACTTTAATGCCTACCTCAAACCATGAACAAAACTTAATTAGAGATGAAACCAAAACCTAAATGTAAAAACTAAAAGTGAAAAGCATCTAGAAGAAAACACAGGAGAAAATCTTGCCAACCTTGGGGTAGGTCAATATTTCTTAGGATTCAAAAGAGAATCATCATAAAAAGAAAAAAATGATAAATTGGATTGCATCAAAATTAAAACTTCTGCTCATCAACTGATACCATTAAGGAAATGAAAAGCCAAGCCACAGACAAGGAGAAAACACAGTACGTGTGTCTGACAAGGAACTGTGTCCAGAATAAATAAAGAACTCCTACAGCTTGGTAAGAAAGAGAAAAACAGCTCCATTTTTTAAAAAGTGAGCAAAAGATTTAAATAGACACTTCACAAAGGAGGACATATGAAGGACTAATAATTAAACAAAAAAAGGATCAACACCTTTAGTCCTCAGGGAAACATCAATTAAAACCACAATGAGCTTCCACTGCATACCCACTGAGAGAGTTCAAATAAAAAAACACCACCAACCAGTGCGGGGAAGGACGCGGAGCAGCCGGAGTGCTGCTGGGGGGCCAGTCAAATGGTGCAACCCCTTTGGAAAACTGGCATTTTCTACTAAAGGTGAACAAATGACTCAGCAATTCCACTTTTAGGTATTTTACCAAGAGATATGAAAACAAATGAATGCAAAATTACTCATCCAAGAATGTTCATAGTAGCCCTGTTCATCAGAACCTCAGACTGGAAACAGTCTGTGGCAGGCGGGGTAATGCACTCTCCCCAAAAAACCTAAAATCAATAACCTAAGCATCCACTTCAGGAAATTAGAGAAAGAAGAGCAAGGTAAGCCTAATCCAAGCAGAAGAACAAAACAAAACAGTGGAAGAGGAATGAACTTTTGATACGTGCAACGTGGGTGATTCTCAAAAACGTGATGCTGAGGCGAAAAACATCAGACGCGCAAAAGCACACACTGCATGACTCCAAGTACATGCAATTCTAGAAAAAGAAAAACCCATCTGTAATGAAATAAACAGTATTGCAGTAACAGAGAATAACTAGGAAGGAGCACAGAGAGCTTTCTGGGGTGGTGGCGAAGGCTCTGTATCTTGGGTGTGAATTACACGGGTCTTACATTTGATAAAATTTGTTGTGCTATATACTAAAGATCTGTGCACTTCACTGTAAATTAAGTATGTCTTAATTTTTTAAACACTTAAAACTTTAAAAAATTAAAACTTGGGGGAACGGATGTCTTTCAAAATTCAGAATATTTCAGATTTTTTGTTAAGTAATGAGGTGTCCACCCTGTATATTCCATGAATGTCCTTAGCAAGGTTTGAGGCAGATGCAGAATCAAATATCTTAGTATCTCTGGTACACAAGCACACAGATGTTCACATGAAGTCTCAAACCCTATCATGGCACTTTGGGTCAGCTTTTGCCATTAAATGAGGTTGCTGCAAAGCTATGGGAAAAAAATGTTAAGTTTTCTGAGTTTTGGAATTTGAATTTCAGACAAGGAACTGTGATGCTGTGAAGGAAGACAGTAAAGGTTTGGGGGAGGGGACAGGAGCCCCTGGTGCTTCTGGGGAACCTTGGGACTTGCCTGTGTTCAGAGTTCCATGAGGATCCTGCAGGCACCTGTCCTGTGGGTGAGAAAGCCACCAAGTGCTGCTGCACCCCAGTGTCCTGCAAATGGGCCAGGTGGGGGCACACCCGAGATAGAAAAGCTCCTCCAGATTCTGCCTGGAGAGAATTTCCTTTTCAGGGACCAAGGGATCGACGCCAGAGACTGCAAACTGTCCTGCAGCAGGCGCTCTGAGTATGTTTTATGACCAACAAGGCAAGGGATGCCCTGTGCCCACAGCATCCCAAATTTGTCATTTCTTTAGGAAAAATTCCTAGAAATGGAGTTGCCTGGGGAAGTGTATGCATAATTTAAGCTTTAATTGATATTGATATTGCCTTTTAATTGATATTGCCAAAACCTTCCCCCAAAAAATATCGTAGATCCAATCACCCTCCCACCAAAGGACAGTTCCTTGCCAGTATTCAGAGTTTTACTTTTTGCCAATCTTGTACAAAATGCTACATTAGCTTAATTCCCATTCCTCAAATATTAGTAAAGCTGAGTTTATGGTATCTTCATCGTGTGTGTCCTTTCACCCATTTTAAAATGGATTGCTTGTCTTTTTCTTGTTGATTTATAAAATGCTCTCCATTTATCATTGATACTGACCCTTGGCAGCAGCTGACAGCAAAACCTTTGCTGCATCTTTCAACTTAACTTAGAGGGTTTTGCTGAACAAATTTTTGAAAGTGTTTATCTTCACATGTCTCAGTCTTTTAAGATTCTCGAGTTTGGGATCATACTTAGGAGGGGTATCCCCCACCCCAAAAGAATCTTGGGATCAAGATCTTGGAATTATTGAATGATGGAACCTGGGAACATTGGAAATAGAGAAATCTTGTAGTCATCCTCATTACAAAATCATGTGATGTTAGGATTGAAACTTTTCAGGACATTATATTTTGAAGGGACTTTACATTCATTCATTTGATCTCGCATTCACTGACTTTTTAAAAAATTAATGGAGCATCTTTACGTGGGAGCGCTACGCTAGGTGCTGAGGAAACACCGTGAGCGAAGCAAAGTCCTGCACTCCCGGCATGCACGCTGCAGAGGGGCCACCCTCCACTAACACTAAGTATGTCATGTCTGTGACTTCTGGTCAGTGCTGAGGACACAGTCAGGACTCGACTCTACAGCCTCCCAGGCTCCTGGTTTTCCAGCCTCACCTCGAACACCTCCAGGGAGAGAATCCTGAGGAACAAGTCCCCATCCCTGAGGACCATCAGGCAAATGAGAGACTAGGTTTCAGGGACTCACAAGAGGGAAGGGACAAGGGGGTGCTGGAGTCAGGGCACAGAGTGGCCAGAGTGGGCCAGAGCTGGTGGCTCTCAAGATTTGGGGAGAGACGGCTCCAGCCCCACCCACCCCCATCTCCTGACAGATAGCTATCAAGTCGGTCCAGTTCCTGAACACGGACCTGTGGTCCAAGGAGCTGCTGTGGGCACTCACCAAGCCCAACCAGACCCATCGGGAGCAGTCCCCGGAGAAGGTGGGCCCCGCCCCTGCCTCCTCCCAAGGCAGCCCTTGCTGGCCCACAGCACAGGCCCAAGTGCTCTGTCCACTGGATGCACGAGGCCCTAGAAAGAAACTGGCGGACCTGAAAGAAACAGGCTGGGGCCTGGGCAGCAGGACTTGAAGCCACATTCTGCTCCACCACCAGGCAGAGGTTTAGATGGTCCCAGGGCAGGGTGGTGAGGGGACTGCAGAGGCAGGGGAGGCTGAGGAAGGCAGTCAGAGGAGGCTGCTCAAGGAGGCAAGGGCCATCCCAGGGGGCTCAGGATAGCACTGACCCTCCGCCAGGCCTTCCTGTTCACCTACTATGGGCTGATCCTTCAAGCTGAAGAGAACAGCGCCACGGTCAGGACACACCTACAAACCCTCCTGGAAACGTCCCACCAGTGGCCCAAGCAGAGAGAGGTGAGGAGCAAGCCCCCGCCCCGTCCCCACGACTGCCTGACCCTGACCATAGGATTGGCCTGCCTGCTGGCCACACGCTCTGCCCTGATCCTAATCACAGACTGAGGCCTCCCCCTGTTGACACCCTGACCGTGACCCTAGTTACATGCTAATCCCTAATCCTGGCCACACACTGAGTCCTGATCCTGGTCACAGACTCTTTCCTGACCTTGGTCACACACAGAGACCTGATTCTGCTTTAAGGCTAAAACTTGACCATGACCACAGGCCAAATCCTGACCCTGGTCACACCCTGAGCCCTGAGCCCTGAGCCCTGAGCCCTGAGCCCTGACCACAGCCCGAGCCCAGATCTCACCCCAGGGCCCCTCCCTTCATCCCAACCTGTCACAGGTCTGCTCAGAGCTGGCCGTGAGGGATAACTGGACTCCGAGGTCTCACCTCTGTCTCCTGCCTTTCCTAAGCTCACCCACCAGACCCCATAGGAGATGCCCACATGGGTTGGTCTCAGACTTGCATGTCCTAAAGAGCATGGCAGGTGGATGCCCTGTGATCTTGGATGAGTCCCCCACCTCCTTCTGGGCCTCGGTTTTCACACCTGCCAGGTGGGGGGCCAAGTCCAGTCCTGCGACTCCAGGGTCCCTTCATCAGTGCTCCTGGTACCCCTCTCCCACAGGGCATTGCTCTCACAGTGGGGCTGGCCGCCGTCCACCACCTGGATGATGTCTGGGCCGTCCTGGACCAGTTTGGCCGGAGCAGGCCCATCAGGTGGAGCCTCAATAGTTTCTCCCCAAAGGTACTGGCTCAGGGGTCCTCAGGACCTCAGCAAGGGGTGTCAGGGCCTCCACTCTCCATGCTGGGACCCCCAGGCAAGGTAGAACATGGGTGTCGGGCCACGAATCCTGACCTCCAATCTCCACCTCACCCCACCTGCAATGTGGCCTGTGTGTGCCTCAGTTTCCTCCTCTTGGATGGGAACTCCTTCCGCCACACCTGTTGGGGATTGGAATGGGCCAGGGCTGTAGAGGGCCGGTGCGTGGCCAGAGCTCGAGCGGAGACAGCCTCGCTGTGCTCATGATGGCTGCTGTAAGCTCCTTCAATGGCCCTTGGGCACGTGACTCATCCGAACATGAGCCCTGGGCCAGCGAGCAACCCAATGGGCTATGGATGGCAGACGGCAGCGCACCCACCCCTCCTCACTGCATCCCACGTAACTCCCGCAGGAGGAAATAGTGCCCAAGACTGAGCCACTGAGAAGCCCTCACCCCACATCCCACGTGCCCCTTACCATCCCTCCAGGCCCCAGCAGTCCAAGGGGGAGAAGGCGTGTGTCCAGCAGGAAGGGGGTGGGGCGGAGACGGCCCTGGGCTCCTGGGGAAGGGGCTACCACGAGAGGGGTGAGGGGCCTGGGCTCTGGCCAGTTCCAGCAGAGCCAGGCACCCTGTGTACACCCCTGATGGCCCTACCAGGCCCATCCACCCCTAAAGAGCCAACTCCACTTTCCTTATTTTCCTACTGAGGTAAACTGAGGCTCACCACCCCTCAGGACACTCTGCCTCTGGTACCCATCTAGGGCCTGGGGTACCTCCTCTCACCGTGACCCCAGAGGAGGGCTCCAGCAGGCTCCTGACACTCTTTACCCACCCACCCCCCGCCGGCAGAATCCAGAGGACGTGCAGTGGAGGTGGGCCAGCAGCACCACCCTCCTTGCCTATGGGCAGGTGGCAGCCAGGGCCAAGGCGCACATCCTCCCGTGGGTGGACAACATCTTGTCGCGGATGATTTTCTACTTCCAGTACAGCTCCTGGGTACGGGACCCTGCAGCTGCCCTCTGAAGACCCCGGAGTCCTGCCCCCACCCCACCAAGACGGAGCCCTGGACTCCAGCCCAGCAGCCCCACCAGAATCTCAGAGTCCGAGAACTCAGGACCTTCCAGAGCCCTGGAGTCCAGCTTCCCCTTCCCTCCCCGCCTGGGAACCACAAAGAACCAGGCCCAGCTCCCTTGAGCCCCACATTCCAGTCCGCCTTCCAGCCTGACCCCTCCCCACCCCNGATCCTGCAGGCACCTGTCCTGTGGGTGAGAAAGCCACCAAGTGCTGCTGCTCCCCAGTGTCCAGCAAATGGGCCAGGTGGGGGCACGCCCGAGGGGGCACACCAGATTCTGCCTGGAGAGAATTTCCTTTTCAGGGACCAAGGGATCGACGCCAGAGACTGCAAACTGTCCTGCAGCAGGCGCTCTGAGTATGTTTTATGACCAACAAGGCAAGGGATGCCCTGTGCCCACAGCATCCCAAATTTGTCATTTCTTTAGGAAAAATTCCTAGAAATGGAGTTGCCTGGGGAAGTGTATGCATAATTTAAGCTTTAATTGATATTGATATTGCCTTTTAATTGATATTGCCAAAACCTTCCCCCCAAAAATATCGTAGATCCAATCACCCTCCCACCAAAGGACAGTTCCTTGCCAGTATTCAGTGTTTTACTTTTTGCCAATCTTGTACAAAATGCTACATTAGCTTAATTCCCATTCCTCAAATAAAAAAATATCGTAGATCCAATCACCCTCCCACCAAAGGACAGTTCCTTGCCAGTATTCAGAGTTTTACTTTTTGCCAATCTTGTACAAAATGCTACATTAGCTTAATTCCCATTCCTCAAATATTAGTAAAGCTGAGTTTATGGTATCTTCATCGTGTGTGTCCTTTCACCCATTTTAAAATGGATTGCTTGTCTTTTTCTTGTTGATTTATAAAATGCTCTCCATTTATCATTGATACTGACCCTTGGCAGCAGCTGACAGCAAAACCTTTGCTGCATCTTTCAACTTAACTTAGAGGGTTTTGCTGAACAAATTTTTGAAAGTGTTTATCTTCACATGTCTCAGTCTTTTAAGATTCTCGAGTTTGGGATCATACTTAGGAGGGGTATCCCCCACCCCAAAAGAATCTTGGGATCAAGATCTTGGAATTATTGAATGATGGAACCTGGGAACATTGGAAATAGAGAAATCTTGTAGTCATCCTCATTACAAAATCATGTGATGTTAGGATTGAAACTTTTCAGGACATTATATTTTGAAGGGACTTTACATTCATTCATTTGATCTCGCATTCACTGACTTTTTAAAAAATTAATGGAGCATCTTTACGTGGGAGCGCTACGCTAGGTGCTGAGGAAACACCGTGAGCGAAGCAAAGTCCTGCACTCCCGGCATGCACGCTGCAGAGGGGCCACCCTCCACTAACACTAAGTATGTCATGTCTGTGACTTCTGGTCAGTGCTGAGGACACAGTCAGGACTCGACTCTACAGCCTCCCAGGCTCCTGGTTTTCCAGCCTCACCTCGAACACCTCCAGGGAGAGAATCCTGAGGAACAAGTCCCCATCCCTGAGGACCATCAGGCAAATGAGAGACTAGGTTTCAGGGACTCACAAGAGGGAAGGGACAAGGGGGTGCTGGAGTCAGGGCACAGAGTGGCCAGAGTGGGCCAGAGCTGGTGGCTCTCAAGATTTGGGGAGAGACGGCTCCAGCCCCACCCACCCCCATCTCCTGACAGATAGCTATCAAGTCGGTCCAGTTCCTGAACACGGACCTGTGGTCCAAGGAGCTGCTGTGGGCACTCACCAAGCCCAACCAGACCCATCGGGAGCAGTCCCCGGAGAAGGTGGGCCCCGCCCCTGCCTCCTCCCAAGGCAGCCCTTGCTGGCCCACAGCACAGGCCCAAGTGCTCTGTCCACTGGATGCACGAGGCCCTAGAAAGAAACTGGCGGACCTGAAAGAAACAGGCTGGGGCCTGGGCAGCAGGACTTGAAGCCACATTCTGCTCCACCACCAGGCAGAGGTTTAGATGGTCCCAGGGCAGGGTGGTGAGGGGACTGCAGAGGCAGGGGAGGCTGAGGAAGGCAGTCAGAGGAGGCTGCTCAAGGAGGCAAGGGCCATCCCAGGGGGCTCAGGATAGCACTGACCCTCCGCCAGGCCTTCCTGTTCACCTACTATGGGCTGATCCTTCAAGCTGAAGAGAACAGCGCCACGGTCAGGACACACCTACAAACCCTCCTGGAAACGTCCCACCAGTGGCCCAAGCAGAGAGAGGTGAGGAGCAAGCCCCCGCCCCGTCCCCACGACTGCCTGACCCTGACCATAGGATTGGCCTGCCTGCTGGCCACACGCTCTGCCCTGATCCTAATCACAGACTGAGGCCTCCCCCTGTTGACACCCTGACCGTGACCCTAGTTACATGCTAATCCCTAATCCTGGCCACACACTGAGTCCTGATCCTGGTCACAGACTCTTTCCTGACCTTGGTCACACACAGAGACCTGATTCTGCTTTAAGGCTAAAACTTGACCATGACCACAGGCCAAATCCTGACCCTGGTCACACCCTGAGCCCTGAGCCCTGAGCCCTGAGCCCTGAGCCCTGACCACAGCCCGAGCCCAGATCTCACCCCAGGGCCCCTCCCTTCATCCCAACCTGTCACAGGTCTGCTCAGAGCTGGCCGTGAGGGATAACTGGACTCCGAGGTCTCACCTCTGTCTCCTGCCTTTCCTAAGCTCACCCACCAGACCCCATAGGAGATGCCCACATGGGTTGGTCTCAGACTTGCATGTCCTAAAGAGCATGGCAGGTGGATGCCCTGTGATCTTGGATGAGTCCCCCACCTCCTTCTGGGCCTCGGTTTTCACACCTGCCAGGTGGGGGGCCAAGTCCAGTCCTGCGACTCCAGGGTCCCTTCATCAGTGCTCCTGGTACCCCTCTCCCACAGGGCATTGCTCTCACAGTGGGGCTGGCCGCCGTCCGCCACCTGGATGATGTCTGGGCCGTCCTGGACCAGTTTGGCCGGAGCAGGCCCATCAGGTGGAGCCTCAATAGTTTCTCCCCAAAGGTACTGGCTCAGGGGTCCTCAGGACCGCCACCTGGATGATGTCTGGGCCGTCCTGGACCAGTTTGGCCGGAGCAGACCCATCAGGTGGAGCCTCAATAGTTTCTCCCCAAAGGTACTGGCTCAGGGGTCCTCAGGACCTCAGCAAGGGGTGTCAGGGCCTCCACTCTCCATGCTGGGACCCCCAGGCAAGGTAGAACATGGGTGTCGGGCCACGAATCCTGACCTCCAATCTCCACCTCACCCCACCTGCAATGTGGCCTGTGTGTGCCTCAGTTTCCTCCTCTTGGATGGGAACTCCTTCCGCCACACCTGTTGGGGATTGGAATGGGCCAGGGCTGTAGAGGGCCGGTGCGTGGCCAGAGCTCGAGCGGAGACAGCCTCGCTGTGCTCATGATGGCTGCTGTAAGCTCCTTCAATGGCCCTTGGGCACGTGACTCATCCGAACATGAGCCCTGGGCCAGCGAGCAACCCAATGGGCTATGGATGGCAGACGGCAGCGCACCCACCCCTCCTCACTGCATCCCACGTAACTCCCGCAGGAGGAAATAGTGCCCAAGACTGAGCCACTGAGAAGCCCTCACCCCACATCCCACGTGCCCCTTACCATCCCTCCAGGCCCCAGCAGTCCAAGGGGGAGAAGGCGTGTGTCCAGCAGGAAGGGGGTGGGGCGGAGACGGCCCTGGGCTCCTGGGGAAGGGGCTACCACGAGAGGGGTGAGGGGCCTGGGCTCTGGCCAGTTCCAGCAGAGCCAGGCACCCTGTGTACACCCCTGATGGCCCTACCAGGCCCATCCACCCCTAAAGAGCCAACTCCACTTTCCTTATTTTCCTACTGAGGTAAACTGAGGCTCACCACCCCTCAGGACACTCTGCCTCTGGTACCCATCTAGGGCCTGGGGTACCTCCTCTCACCGTGACCCCAGAGGAGGGCTCCAGCAGGCTCCTGACACTCTTTACCCACCCACCCCCCGCCGGCAGAATCCAGAGGACGTGCAGTGGAGGTGGGCCAGCAGCACCACCCTCCTTGCCTATGGGCAGGTGGCAGCCAGGGCCAAGGCGCACATCCTCCCGTGGGTGGACAACATCTTGTCGCGGATGATTTTCTACTTCCAGTACAGCTCCTGGGTACGGGACCCTGCGGCTGCCCTCTGAAGACCCCGGAGTCCTGCCCCCACCCCACCAAGACAGAGCCCTGGACTCCAGCCCAGCAGCCCCACCAGAATCTCAGAGTCCGAGAACTCAGGACCTTCCAGAGCCCTGGAGTCCAGCTTCCCCTTCCCTCCCCGCCTGGGAACCACAAAGAACCAGGCCCAGCTCCCTTGAGCCCCACATTCCAGTCCGCCTTCCAGCCTGACCCCTCCCCACCCCT